GGAGGATAGGTGAGTGAAAGACAGATGGAGCTCCAGAGGCGGAGGAGAGAAGGGAGGGGTTGGAATCGATAGGGAAATATGGTGGGGAGGGAAAAGAGAGCATGTGAGGGGGAACATGTTGGGAGAGATTCACATGCTCTCGCATGGTAAACTGCGGGAACTGGGTGATTGATAAACAGTGTGCTCTGCCTGATGCGTGGGGAAGTGGCAAATTAGAAAAAGCACGAGGCAATGGCTTACGTCTTGAGGATTTCAAACATTGATCCGGTCAGGTCCTTCCTGCATGGGCATGGGCATGGGCATGGGCATGGGCATGGGCATGCATGCGATGGGAGGATGTGAGGAGGTTACAGAGACGAGGAGGTGGAAATAGAGAGACAAGAGGTGGAAATACAGAGTGATACGCGTGATGTGTGCTCTGAAAGCTCATGGCTGGAGCAAGGCTTTTGAGGCCATCATCCTCGCATCACCTGAAGAGGTGGAAATAAAGAGACAAGAGGTGGAAATACAGAGTGATACGTGTGACGTGTACTCTGACTGCTCATGGCTGGAGCAAGGAATAGCAGATACAACGCTTCGCAAATGCTCAGCTGTAGCAGGGAAGGATACCCTGGGGATGACTGTTTCAGGAAAGGCGTTTGCTGGGAAGACATGGCTGTAGCAGGGAAGGCGCACCCTGGAGCGGCATGGCTGTAGCAGGGTGCTTGGACAAGAAATTCCTTTCCCACAGCTTGGTGAAGCGCCTGCAGGTCAGCCGCCCTGGTGATCTACGGATGGGGAACAGGGGGCGAGGGGAAGAAAAGAAGAGGGGATGGGAGAAGGGAGGAAGGTGACGAGTTTGAGGGGAGACTGGGATGCTTAAAGATTCGTGGAGGGAGGAGTTGGTTAATGCTGAGACGAAGAGGCAAGTTGATATGTGACGTGCATGGGGACAGAAACGGAGTCAGGGCGGTGCATGTCTCTGCTCTGCTGTCGCTGCCATGGCCGATGCAGTCCACTCACCCCATGTGGCCATATGTGTTGCAAGGAACAGGCACAGCTCACTCACCATGTGGCGTGTGTTGCGCGGCACAGCGAAGGGCTGGTCGTTTGAAAAGGCCCGCTCTGACTCCAGCAGAGCTTCACGCATGGCCTCAAACGACCTGCCACGCATTCAACAGAAATTGGCTTCAGACGACAAAACAACACTGCCGCAGAGAAGCGGAGTCAGTGCAAGAGAGGTGTGTGTGCTAGTTTTGAGGCGCCTCAAATGTGTGCTAGGAGGTATGAGTGGTGGGGGGAGTGTGTGGGTTTGGCAGGCTGAAAGGGCGAGAAAGAAGGTGAGTGGATAGTGAGGGACCCACTTGTTGAAGACGGGGTAGTACTTGACGGTCTGCAGATCCCACACCTTGATGGGCGTGGACGACCGAACGCCCCGCGCAAAGCTTTTTCTGCAGAGGAAAGCAGACGGAGCACCCTTTCCCCCCCATGAGACATGATCGCATGCCATCAGGAAACCATTGAGAATCAAATCATTAAGAACGGGAAGAGCCATCCCAGTGGCACGTACTTCAGTTGGTCGTTCCAGAGAATAGCAGCCGTTGGATCGGCGATCTGTCTCCATCTGGTGATCATCTCGTAAACATCCCTCCAGCCTTTGAGCACCCCACCGCCTGACACCTTGCTTCTGCTGCGGCTCTTCCCACTGCCCTTGCCTGAGTTTTCACTTGCCTTCTGCCTCTGCTTCGCCGTGCTCTCTACCCTTCCGCCTCCTCCTGCTAGTGCATCTTTTTCCTTGGTTGTTGTCGTGTCTGTAACCGTGTTACCAGCTGCTGACTCCCTCCCCTGCAGCTCCTGTGCCATAGCATCCCAACTTGCCCTTGCCTGTGCCACGGCACATGCACACATGGAGCAATTGAAAGAGCATGAAAGATCTCCACACTTGCAACACTGTCTTTAGTGACAAGCATTTGCAAAAGCAGCATTGAATAACCAGCTGCATCTCGTCAAGAGCTGCCAGCCCTGGGGATTTACGAGTGGCCTGAACACCATCAAAGTGAATGGGGGCAGATGAGAGAAGGACGTGGGTGGAAAGGAAGCGGAAGAGTCTCACCTGCTGCATCACGTCAAGAGCTGCCAGCCCTGCCATGCGCAGCTGAGGGGTGGAGGGAGGGCGAGGGGAATGGAGTGAGCACAGGAACAAAGTTCATGCAGGCAGTATTAGGGAAGTGAGGATATGAGGGGTGAAGACAGAAAACAACAAACAAAGCATGCTGGCATGTCTCTGCTGTTACCTGCTGCCTGTTTGCCATGAAGGCATCACAGTGGTAGTGGGCACGCTGGCCGATCCTGTCCGCTGCTTCTATCAGATCCAACCCTCCTCGTGACAGCTTGGGCAGGGATAGTAGTTTGGCGCGCTGTAACTGGCGTGAACTGACCGAGAGCGGCTGGTATCCTGGCAGTGTTGCTATAGGGTCACTATTGGTCCATGCCTCCTGTGCCACGGTGGGGGAGGGGGATATGAGTCGGGAATGTAGCAAGGGGGGACTGAAGGGGAGTAGCAAGGTTGGGATGTGATAAAAAGGTATTGTGATGGGATGTGGTGGTGATGCCTCTTGGTTGAGCAATGTGAGATGATTCTACGTCTGAGCAAAGGGCAATGAGAATAGGCGTGCCAATGGGAAACAGACGCCACAGCACGGGTGATGAAGATGGCTGTGTTCAGAGCGATGAAGGGTTGAGGGCAATAAAGGGTTGAGGGCGATAAAGGGTTGAGGGCGATGAAGGGTTGAGGGCGATAAAGGGTTGAGGGCGATAAAGGGTTGAGGGCGATAAAGGGTTGAGGGATGTAGTAAGGCGTGGCCGTACTCTGAACTCAGAAGTGAAGTCCCAGTCGAATTGGATAGAGGAGAGCGGCTGCTGCAAGCGAGCAACGGTGTAGGACAGTACCTCCCTCTGGGAGGGGGAGGGCAGTTGGAATGGCAGTCATGGGAGGCAGGGAGCATATGAGGAAGGGAGATGAGTGGGAGTGGCGAGGGGCTGGTCGGGGAGCAAAAAACACAAAAAAAGCACTGAAACGTTTAACATGCCTGGTAGAGCATGCCTGGTAGAACATGCCTGGTAGAACATGGAGTGTTGCAGAACCTGTCCGTCCTGATCCCTGGGCTGCAGTGCCAATGCTGCCTGGTACTTGCGCATCTGTGGGCAGGGCAGCACACGGGTATGCAGATGAGGGTGGTGGGTCGTCGTGATGCAAGTGTGTGTGTGTGTGGTGCGTGAGAGATCGTGATTTAAAAAAGTCACTATGCAAGCCTGTGAATGTGAACGGCACACAGCGTGTAGCGACTCACTATTGGGCAGCACACAGCTTGAGGAGGAGGTGTGGAACTCTCACAGCTTCAGCAAGGTCCCCCAGAGCATGCAGGCTGCTGGCGTGGGCATGAGCGAGCTCCATGTCTCCCCTGTCCAGCTGCAACCCCTCTCTTGCATAGCGTATGGCGGCCCTGCAAGGAGGGAGAGAGGGGTGAAGAGGCCGGGCTAGAGAAAGAAGAAAGGACAAGGCAGAGCAGAAATGTGGTCATCTAATAGAGCAGGGCTCAACATCGAGCCCACAATCAAACATCGGGATGATGATTTTTAAGTGGTATTTATCCAAACGTTGATAAGAGAACTAAACTGGCAGAAAACCAATCCTGCACGGTGCAAATGCGAGATGAGCGCACCTGTAGTCACCCACCAATCGGCTGACAGCGACGAGCTCCTGATAGGTCGCCACTGCCCTGTGCCGTGCACGCAGCAATGCATGGATGTGAGTAGAGGGAGTGGTTAACTGTGACTCCTTGCACACGCGTGCATGGCCCCCAGTATGGGTGTTGACACGGGAATGAAAGGATGCTTGGGAGAATAGGGAGGGAGAATAGGGACGGATGGATGGATGCAGTGACATTATAGAAGGACATATGAAATGCCAGCACAGATGCGATGCAGGGAGTTTTGAAATGGAAGCAGGGAATTTTAGAAATTGAGAGATTGAAATTTTAAGAAATTGAGAGTTGAGAAGGATGCATGCAGGGAATGATTCCAAGCTATGTCTGGACCCGCACTGTTGCCATGCCACGGGCACCAAAAAGAACTCACCATGGCTGCAAACACATCCACGGCACTCACTTTCTGATCTGCAGCGCTCGCTGCAGCGCCTCTATGGCTTGATCCACCTCGCCCACCTCCTTGTGCGCGCGCCCCTTGGAATGCCACAGGTCCGCATCCTGAGGGTGCCGCCTCACACCCTCTGCAAACACTGCCAGGGACTCCCGCCACCTCCCACTGCCCCCTATGGCTAGGGCCTAGGGTGAGGAAGTGGGAGGGGGGAAGGGAGTGAGGGGGTTGGGAGAGGAGAGGGATTGATCAAAAGGGAGGAGGAAGAGAGAGGAAAAAGGTGCTGGGAGGAACAGTTGAGGAACAAGCCATGCATGCTGTATGTATGGAAGGAAGGAGGAAGCCATAATGCTTATGAAATGAAAGCCTGTCTTTGGACAGGGGCAACGAGAAAACCAGCAGTCATATAAGAAAAGTGGAATAGCAAGGGACGGGTTATCACAAGGGAGAACGAGGTATGAGGTGGAAAAATAACCACACAGTGATAAGGAACGAGAATCGGAAGGAGTCAGAAGACTGAATAAGTAGCATGAGGGAGACTTACAAGGCCTCGAAAGACGAAAGACTGAGAGGGGTCAAGGTGAATGGCTTCCTGAAAGTCCTTCTCTGCTGCATGGTAGTCCTTCAGGTTAAAGGACAAGATGCCTGGCAGGGGGATTGGGAGGAGACACGAGGGAAAGGAGGGATGAAGATGGAGAGAGAGCGAGGGTCTTGAAGTGTGTGATGTTTGAGAGTTCTCAACAATCACTCACAAGGGATGTGAGATGGTTGCAGTTGGAATGGAAGCATGTGCAGCTGAGAGGAACGCGGCAGTGAACACAACTAAACCAGCAACACTGACTCGCCCAGCACATATGTATGCTCACCTCGCCACCTGAGTGCTTCAGCATTGGAGGGGTCCAGGTCAATGACGCGAGAGTAGTCCGCTATGGCCTTCACGACATGGCATGTGGGTGTGGATCAAACACAGAAGGAAGAGGCACTAGATGCAATAAGGGATTGCTTCCAGGCAGCCCGCTGGCAGGCAGCATAATTCAAAGGCGGATGCATCATGACAGAATCTGGTGTGGTGTGATAGGGCAGGAGCACAATGTCAACATGTATAATGGAAGTATGGACCATCGCAGCTTGTGTTTGCGTGTCATGCACGGATGAAGGCGGCAAACCACATGGTTGCACATCTGGACTTTTGAGGCGCCTCAAAAGGCGGCAAACCACATGGTTGCACATCTGGACTTTTGAGGCGCCTCAAAAGGCGGCAAACCACATGGTTGCACATCTGGACTTTTGAGGCGCCTCAAAAGGCGGCAAACCACATGGTTGCACATCTGGACTTTTGAGGCGCCTCAAAAGGCGGCAAACCACATGGTTGCACATCTGGACTTTTGAGGCGCCTCAAAAGGCGGCAAACCACATGGTTGCACATCTGGACTTTTGAGGCGCCTCAAAAGGCGGCAAACCACATGGTTGCACATCTGGACTTTTGAGGCGCCTCAAAAGGCGGCAAACCACATGGTTGCACATCTGGACTTTTGAGGCGCCTCAAAAGGCGGCAAACCACATGGTTGCACATCTGGACTTTTGAGGCGCCTCAAAAGGCGGCAAACCACATGGTTGCACATCTGGACTTTTGAGGCGCCTCAAAAGGCGGCAAACCACATGGTTGCACATCTGGACTTTTGAGGCGCCTCAAAAGGCGGCAAACCACATGGTTGCACATCTGGACTTTTGAGGCGCCTCAAAAGGCGGCAAACCACATGGTTGCACATCTGGACTTTTGAGGCGCCTCAAAAGGCGGCAAACCACATGGTTGCACATCTGGACTTTTGAGGCGCCTCAAAAGGCGGCAAACCACATGGTTGCACATCTGGACTTTTGAGGCGCCTCAAAAGGCGGCAAACCACATGGTTGCACATCTGGGCTGGTCTACCCGATGCCATGGCACCATGGTGTCACCATACATACATCATGATGCCTACCTCGCGGTGTCACCATACATACATCATGATGTGATGTCTACCTCGACAGGCTTGTTCATTTTGAAATAAATGCCTGCTCGCGCCATGAAGCCAGCTGCGCTTGTGGGGTTTGCTGACAGAGCCTGCCAGCGGAGCATCGCATCGCACACGAGTTTGATGGGTTAACTTAATCATGTGGCTGCTGGCAACAGAATAACTGGTCAATGGGACATAAGAAGGGATGAAGCGGAGGGGACAGAAGACATGTATTCCTTACAGCGGACAGGTCAGCGACGGCCTTGTCAAACTGCCCCAATGCATCGTAACAGAAGCTTCGGCCAACAAGCACCTGATCCTTCACAGAGGGAATGGAGGCCAGCTGTCGGGCAATGATTGGAGGATTAACGGACAAACGGACTGGAATGAGCCATGCATGGGAAGCAGAGGCAGGTACGTGAAGGGAAAATTGCGGTTTCGTGATTGAACAGAAAGGTGGAATACGGACGAACCGTGGTAAATCAGAAGCAGAAGCGTTCATTGAGGCGACAAGAAAAATCTGCAGGGTATAGGGTTGCATTCCTGACCTTGTTGTAGATAGCAATTGCCTCCATATATCCCCCTCGTTCTATCTGCATGGGACGGGAGCAGGCAGCAGCAAATCAAGAGGTGAAACGGAACAGGTACATGAGCCTGAACAATCAAGAGTTGAATCCAAATGGGACTTGAGCTCACACGCTGGCTACTTAACTGATGCTCATACGATGTGGTGTGGTGGATACTCATACAAACAATACTAGGACGAAGCAATAAACAGCCTTTTTGCCCACCCTTTTTACCCATTCTTTTTGCCCATCCTTTTGCCCATCCGTTTTCCCATCCACTTCCCCCATGCCCATCCACTCCACCACCACCGCACTCACCTCATCGTTCGCCTGCTGCAACATCTCAAGCTGCTTGCTTGTCACCTGCGCTTCCTCCTCCTTCGTCTGCTTCCGTTCCGCTTCACCGTTGTTCACGTCTTCTACAGTCGCCCTTGTGCTGCTCCCCTCCAGACCTCCCCTTCCATGCTTATTCTCATGCACCCTTCTTTGCTCCCTCATCGCAGCATTAGAAGGTCCAGGACCATCGCCCAGCAGCAGCAAGCCACAGAGCTCAGTGCTCTCCAGCTGTCTCAACCGCCCCACGGAGCTTTCCTCACACCGCAGGCCCCGTGCTGCCTGGCTGTCACCTCCCTCTCTTCCTTCTCGGCCGACCAACATACTAGTGGGAGAGTCGGCGATCGCTGGTACCGGTGGCTGCTGCAGGCGATACAGTTTGGTTGCTGCGATGGATAGGGCGGTGGAATGAACAGCGGGGGAGGGAGGGAGGTATAGTGCCGGGGGGTTTCCAGGATGATGGCGCATGGGTGAGCAAGCGATAACACGGGAGCAAAAAAATTGTAAAAATTAGACGCGAAATAAGTACGTTGGCTTCTGAGCTCAAGCCGAAAGTTGAGAAATAAGTGCATTGGCTCTGCAGCAGCTGCACCTTCGTTCAATATGTTGTTTTCATCACCTTTTCTGATGAATGGAGTAATGCAGGCGGGCCGACTGGGCAGAGGGTGATGATGTGGCACTGACGCTATCAGACGTGCCTCCCATTCGCAAAGACAGGGGCTCCTGGGTGGATGCATGACGTTGATGCATGACGATGAGGCATGACGATGAGGCATGACCATGATGAATGACCATGATGCATGACCATGATGCATGACCATGATGCATGACCATGATGCATGACCATGATGCACGGCACTGAAGATTATGATGTGCGACGAGATTCCCGTACACATCAATGTGTCGATCGCAGTGCAAATGACGAAAGTGTCAGTGCGTCGATATCCAGTAATGTTCTGACACTCTGAAGTGCTGGTTGGCAGTCTCACCAGCTCAGCATTTCAAGAGACGAGAGGAGCCCTGCAGCGGCATCGGTCTGTTCCTCTGCATTGCACCTGCGCGCCGAGCTTGGAAGGACGAACCCCGCTGTCTGGTCTGCCGTCTCCGCACCTCTCGTACTACCTCCACCCTTGTTCGCGCCGGCTAAATTAACTGTAACGGCATGGTTTGAGAACGGTGGAGCTGAGTAGTATCGACCATTGAAGACCGTGCATAGCGTCAAATTCAGCGAGAGGCACACAAACGTCGCACGAATGGCAGGAGCCATTCTATGTTGACATGTTGCATGGAAATGTGATGGACGCGAACTTCGAATCGGCCGTCAAGACGTGGTGATTATTTAACTATGGAGTCATAACGTAGACCAATCATCATCAGAAGCCTCAACGTAGGTGCAATGGCTTAGGACGCGTCACCTGAACGCCGATCCTGCGATCGATCTCAATATCGATCTTCCACCGCATTGAAACTACGCGCATCGTAGTAAAAACTTCTAGATGCAAATTAAACCACGTGAAAAATCGATCCTACGTAGGATCGATCCTGCGATCGGCGTTGAGGTGACGCGTCCTCACTGAGAGTGTTTCTGTGAACAGTAGCAACAATGGCTACACTACATTTGAAGGATTTGCAACACTAGTTTCCAGTATGCGTTATTAGGCTAGCCTGGTGGGAGAAAGAACGTACACTGAAGTGATTTCCATGGTGTAGGAGGAGTTGCACTAGGCCCAATTTTCATGGTGTTCAGCATCCGACGTGGAACGACGCACTTGACGGAAGCCAACGGATTTCCCAACAGGGGTCCATTCACTTGTCGCAAATCGACGTCGCGAATGTCGCGGATTGCAAGGTCGAGGGTGCGAACTTTGTACGTTCGCCAAATTTCTCAAGGTTTTGACGGACGTCAGGCAGATCAGCAGATGGACACCTTTGAGATCAGGCAACGGCTCTCCAGACTTCCATCTTTGTAGGCTCGGTCGCAACGAATGGGATTCACGGACGTCGATTGTCAGGCCTGCATGTTAGCAGGCTTCGCACCATAGATCTGTGAAGCTGGTCGAGTGAAAGCGACTTTCCGCCGTTGAGTGAGCTTGATGTATCAGTAGTTGTAGATCGGGTTTGGACTAGACTTAGGAAAGAATTCAATTCTGGTATCTCGGACCTACTAGCCACGATACGACTTTTAGGCTTCACTTTGTGCGGTTGTGAGGGCTCTGGAGACTGGTGATCGACAAGGGTAGAGCACAGACTGATTTCGTTAAGCTTCCGTTTCTCTGTTTCATAGCTTAGTCAATTCCTGCCACACGTCTCGTCGCCGGTATGGCGCAGGAGGTGGTCGAGGCTTGCGCTCAGCAGCAGTGGTCGCGCGCCGTTAAGCTGCTGACTGCGCAAATAACGGAGGCGGAAGAGGCCAGCAGGAGTCCAGCCGAAGTCGCGATGTTCCTCTGGTGCGTTTCAAACCTCTATTCATCTCAATTACCATCAATTTGGTTCTGTTTAGCGAGAATGTGGTTGAATTACAGTCTGTCAGAGATTTCTGCATTTTCAAGGGGTTATCTCAAATTACCACTTCACTCCAACGATCATGAACGAATCTTTTCATATGACCCACCCCCCCTACGTTTTCAATCTGATTTGTGCAGCAATCGCGCGTGGTGCTATCTGCACTTGGATCTCAACAAGCACGCGCTCAAGGACGCTATGAGGGCCACGCAGCTCGCTCCAAACCAGCCTCTCGCCTTCATGCGCCAAGGTGACCCGCACTTCCACCCCGCTCGCCGCTCCTCTGTTTCGAGGTCCCCTGTTCCCTGCCTTTCCGAGAAAAATGGCCGGCGTGCTGCCCCGTGACTGTCGCCTGCCTCATTGATCACTCATTGAACGCTGTTGTGAAAACGGATCGTGTGTACTCGCTGAATTGACCGAGTCTCTCTTTGTTTTGACTGGCATATCTTATTCTTTCCTCGTTTCTCCCGTGTTGGCGATGCAGGTGCGGCGTGGCTGGCGTTGGGCAAGAAGGACGAAGCCAAGGCCGCCTTCACCCAAGGCTACCAAGCCGCAACCACCACCGGCAGTAGCGCTGCCGCCACCACTCCCCTCCCCGCGTCCTCCTGCGTTGACCTTGAGTTCGCGCTGCGCCTGCACACGCTCTCCCTCGACCCCTCCTCCCCGCTATCCCCAACGCCCAAGCTCGCTTCTCCCTCTCAGCAGACTCCCTCTGCAAACGCGTCTCCTGCGTCTCCTTCCTCTGCGAATCCCCCTCCCACACCGTCTCCCTCGTCCTCACATCGCGCTCCTGCTGCCACTTCTGCTGCCCAGAATGGGTGTGTGATTGTAGAGACGGGCTCTGGGGATGCATCATCACGTAGTGCAAAAGAGAAGGGGGCCAATGGGGAGGTTGCAACTGTGGAGGCGCGGGGAGATGCTTCACCTAAGGAGCAGAAGAAAGAGGGGAAGAAGAAGGGGGGTCGAGAAGGAGAGAGAAGGGAAGGGAGTGGCGGAGGCGAGGACAGAGGGAAAGGGAGCAGTGGCGGAGGGAAGGGGTTGGGAGGAGCACGCGGCAGCCTGGCATTGGATTTGTTGATTTCCCTTGGGATCAACCAAGTAAGAAAAAAAGAAATTACATTGCGTTTTTTCGTTGACCTTTCCACATCCAGCCTCTTCTAAGCTGAACGCAGGAGCGCTGCATAGTAGAGCATATTGTGTGCGTCGTAAGTGCCTCGTCATTATCAGTTCACCTTTCAGGTCGTTCCTGTTTCCCTTGGCAGGTCAATTCAGGCAAGCTTGACGATGCTGTCAAGACCTTCAATCAGGTACATCGCTATCAGCCTATCACAACACAACCAACCACGTTCCTTTGTCTGTCTCTTATTGGTTCGATCAATTTTTTTCATCTGGACAGTGGCTGCTGCTTCTCCTGAACTGAACCCACCTTCCTTCTGTATTGCGTGCAGGTTCTGGAGACAGACGGGCGGGCGCTGGGTGCGCTGGTGGGGCGGGGCACAGCACGGGCTCTGCAGCGCAAGCTCAAAGAGGCCGTGGCTGATTTCACTGCTGTAAGTTTTACATGCTTGCTGTATAATTCGTCAGAAAACAGTGCGTTTGCATTCATTCCTCCAGCTAATGCATGTCTTTGCTGTCCTCTTATTTTATCTCAGGCGATTGAGATTGAGCCGCGGGCAGCAGAGGCGTGGAAGCGGCGAGCGCAGGCGAGGGCTGCTCTGGGGCAGATGGACGAGGTGAGAAGTGAATAGGGCAGTTGAACTGAGTGATTTATAACGAGCTAATGCCCCTCTTTGTTCGCCTACTCCCTCCCCGCTTCCCCCTCGCCGTTCTCTGTGTGACGTACTGATATATGTGTGTGCTTCTTGCTAGGTGACTTTTGAGTCGACTCAAAAGTCAACTTGATATATGTATGTGGTCCTTGCTGCACGTTCAGGTGATTGAGGATTTCACTCGAGCGTTCACCATCGACCCCTCGTCCACGGATGTGCTAGCTGAGAGGGGTGAGTGTCTTGCTGTGCTCTTGCTGTGCGGAAAGGATGGGGTGGTCCTTGGTGTGTGAATGAGATGAGGCTCTTTCAGGTGCAGCTTGCCTCCATTGCACGTGGAGCTGCCTTGAGTCCTGGCTGCTTGCCTCTTGGCAATTTTCATTTTTGTATGAGAGCATGTTATCGTCTCAAGTGTATTGAGGAGGTACACTGAAGCACTGAAAGTGCACCTTTTCAATGCCCACACTGCTGTGTTGCTGCTGTGGTATCTGTGTGTGCTGCTGCAATGTCTGCGTGCTGCTGTGCTGTCTGTGTGTGTGCGTGCAGGAGTGGTGTATGTGAAGCAGCGCAACTACCGTGCAGCCATTTCGGATCTAAAGACCTCTCTGGATTCCAATCCGAAAGATGCCAACGCGTATAACTTCCTGGTACTGCGTCTCTTCTCCCAGTAACCACCACTGACTGGTTGTACGGCCACCATGGCTGCCACGCGCTGACGACGCCCTGTGATGGGATCGGAGGGCTGTAAATCTCATCATGGCAGGCTGCATATCATCCGAGCTTCTTTCCTCCCACATTCTTCTTCGCCCTCCACTTCGACGCTGAATGTCCGTCAGTCCTGCTTTCCCACCTCGGTTACCCGCTTGTGTAACGCGTTCCACCTCCTCATTCCTCTCCTATTCCTCGCGTGCCTCCATGCCACCCCTCCCCTTCTTTGTCATCTCTCCTGCAGGGCTTGGCGCTGACGGGCACAGGGGCGTGCATGGAGGGCGTTGCGGCGTACAAGAAGGCTGTGGCCCTGCGCGCAGATTTCAAGGATGCGTGGGTTAACATGGGGCAGGCTTATAAGGAGTACGGCGATGCAGAAAACGCAGCCAAGTGCTACCAGAAGGCATTGGACGCGGACTCAAGGTGAGTGTTTTGCTTTCCAAGCGAAGGGATCGTGCAAATGTGGATATTGCCAGTATCTGCCCCCGCCTCTCCATTACCCCGCCTTGGTTATATCCCACGTGCTCCCCTCGTCTTACAGCGTCTCCTGTCCAACCCCCCCTCCATTCTTCCCCTCGCCCCTCGCGGCACTGCAGCTTTGCCACGGTGTACCGCTACTGGGCGCTGCTCAAGCACGGCGTGGGCGACCACAGGTGAGCGCCACACATATTGCTGTGACTTCAAGGAATTTTCAAAGGTCACGTTGCCCCTCTCGGCACTGCAGCTTTGCGACGGTGTACCGCTACTGGGCGCTGCTCAAGCATGGCGTGGGCGACCACAGGTGAGTCAGCAACCACATGCCTTCGCATCCCCTTTCCCCGCTTCCCTCCCCTCGTTTTCCCACTTCCCCACCTTCCCCCCTTTCCCTCCCTCCCCCCTTTCCCCTCCGCGCCCCCCTTCCCCCCACCCCTATGCATGTATGAATAAGTGCTACAGTTATGCAGAGCAACAAATCTTACCCACCTCTTCCTTCGCTCACTCTCTCGCCACTCACTTCTCGCATCCCGCCTCTTCACCCTACCTGACACATACATCCACCTCCCTTTCGTGCGTCTTGTGCTACTGCTTCCCCAACCCCTTCCCTCCCCCCACTGCTGCACCCCCTCCCCTCCATCCGTGGCACCAGGGGCGCGTCACAGATGGCGCATAAAGGGCTGAGGCTGGAGAGGAGCAACATCGAGCTTTGAGGCGCCTAAAAAATCATCCATTTCCCTTCCGTGCGTCTCGTGCTGCTGTTTCCCCCCGCCCCCCCCCCCCCCCCCCCCCCCCCCCCCCCCCCCCCCCCCCCCCCCCCCCCCCCCCCCACGCTCTGTGGCACCACACCAGAGGCGCGTCCCAGATGGCGCAAAAGGGGCTGAGGTTGGAGAGGAGCAACATCGAGCTCATGTACTCGTATGCCTCCTCCGAGCATGCCGTGGGGGAATACGCCACTGCCGTGAGTGGGTCACTCGTGAGGGGAATGAGTAGGCCACTGCCGTGAGTGGGTCACTCGTGAGGGGAATGAGTAGGCCACTGCCGTGAGTGGGTCACTCGTGAGGGGAATGAGTTGGCCACTGCCGTGAGTGTGTCGTGTGGGGGGAGATACAAAGGGTGGTGATCGTGTCATGTGGTGTGGGGGAACACTCAAAGTGACGAGGAAATGCATCGCATGCTGGAGCATACATACGCCTTGTCTTGTGATACGGGCTTGCTGCTGCACGATGGCTTTTTAGACGACTCACGAGTCACCTTCCCCCTGCCCCTGTCCCTTTCCCCTTCCCTGATCCCCTCCCCCACCAGGTGCGCACGTATGATGAGATGCTGGGCGTGGAGACAGACTCGGAGTCGAAGCTGCTGCAGTTCCTCGGCTTCTACCAGCGCGAGATTGCTCTCTACACTCTCTCCAAGCACTCCCACCCGCTCGCCCACTTCAGCCTTGACAGAGACCTCGACCCCTTCTTCAAGGTCAGAGCACACTCACCCATAGGACTCCTTTGTATATGTGTTATGAGAGTTGGCATTGCACTTTACACGCTCTCCAAGCACTTTCAGCCGCTCTCCCACTTCAGCCTCGACAGGGACCTTGAACCCTTCTTCAAGGTGAGAGCACAACCACCTATTGTACTCCTCCCTATCTGTGTTTTGGGACTTGGCAAAGATTGCCCTTTACACGCTCTCCAAGCACTCGCAGCCGCTCGCCCACTTCAGCCTCGACAGGGACCTTGACCCCTTCTTCAAGGTCAGGCCACGCTTGCTCATTGCGTGTCCATCTATGCTGCAATCTTATTCTACATACCAGTTTTTGTGTTTTGCATCTGTTGCACAATATATGGACGAACATGGTCTGTGTTATCCTGTCCGTACAACCCTCCCTTCAACTGCCTCTTCTAATCCACAGGAAGCGTGGTGCAAGAAGCTTCCCCCCACGCTGCTCTTCCCAGGCTACACCACCCAGCCAGTCCCACCCTCCATCGCCGTGCGTCTGGGCAAGAAAGCCTCCTCTGCTGCAGGGGGCAGCAGCAGCGGCGGTGGCAGCAGCGGCAGTGGCGGCGGTGGTGGCGGTGGGGGCGGCAAGAGCTGTGGGAATCCCGAGGTGCAAAGGCTGCTGGAACTAGCTGATCGGATAGGCCGGCTCACGCAGTACTCGTGCCCTGGCTTCCATGCCAACGTCCGCCAGGTGAGACTCTAGTGCATGTACCTGTGACTCTCACACAGTGGGAATCCCGAGGTGCATAGGCTGCTGGAGTTGATCGGAGAGGCCGGCTCACGCAGTACTCATGCCCTGGCTTCCACGCCAACGTCCGCCGGGTGGGATTTAGAAGTGCCTCTTGAACTATTCGGTGAAATAAATCTGCCTCCACACAAAGATATCACACAGTGTTATCCTGTATATCCTGCGATGCCTGTCTGTTGGAGAAACCTTTACATAGACACGCACATCTGATCCCCACCATCCCGCCCACTCTCCTCTCCTCCCGTTCCTTCATGCCTGCCTCTTGGACCTTTGCGATGCCCCGTCCACCCGTGATGCATGTTGTTTCCTGCCAGTATCGCATGGCGGGCCTTGCTGCCATAGAAATCGCCCAGGCTGTAGCAGCCGATTGGGAACAGCGCGAGGAGGAGGCTGCCGCTGCTACAGCTGCTGCCGCTGCTGCTACAGCTGCTGGTAGCGCATCTCCTGCTTCCGCTGCAGCAGCAGCCGTTCTTGCTGAGCTGGAGGATGGAGGCACTGACATGTCGTCCTTCTCCAAGTCATCATCTGCTGACGTGTCATTGTCTCCTGTGCCTTCCTCTGATGACGTGTCATCACTTCATTTGGACGATTCTCTGATGGATGATGGGGGTAGCAGCAGTGGAAGCGAGGCAGTGGCAGGCGGAAGCAGAAGTCAGGAGGAGAGGAGGAAGGGAGGGAAAAGTGGTGGGGGAAAAGGAGGGAAGAGCAAGGGCGGAAAGGGAGGAGGGCGGGGGAAAGGAGGAGGTGGAAGCGGAGGGAAAGGTGTCTCTGCAAGCGCAGCAGGGGTTGGGGCAGGCTCAGGCGCAGGGCAAGGGAAGGGGGGTGTGACAACAAAGGGAGTGCAGATAAAGGGGTGGAGGGATGCATACTCCATTGCTGTGCGCTGGAGGCAGCTGTCAGAGCCGTGTGACCCGGCTGTATGGGTGGACATGCTCACGTGAGTAGTGTGATGATGTGAGGCATGCTGCATGCATGGTTTTTTGGTCGACTCAGAAAGCAGTGTCAGAGCTGTGTGAGTGACCGGGCTGTATGGGTGGACATGCTCACGTGATTAGTTAGTGCATGCAAGACATGTCGCATGGATGATGCCTCGTTTGCTGGAGTTAAGGACAAGTCCAGGCCGTGAGTTTCTCAAGGACATTGCGGCAGTATCATATCATGGTCGTGTGTGCTGGGTGTGACTCTATGGGATGCGTAGCAGAGTGTGTTGTGATTGTATCAGTGACCTCTCCCGTCACATACAACCTCCCGTCGCTACCCTTGTGTCGCAGGGAGAAAGAGTTTCGAGCGGGCTTTGGGTCTCACACACCCATACTTATCGGGCAGACTAAGGTGGTGCGCTACCATGCTAACTTCGACAGGTGCGCTCCCTCTCAACTCATACCCTCCTTGCTACCCTACCGTCCCCCACCTCACCTCTCAGTGCTGTTATTTGTGTGTGCATCCCCCCTGCCATTCGTGTCTACATCATTTGGTCTCTCAACTCCTCCTTCATTTTCTGCCTTCGTCTCCGCTGCGCGCATGGCAATGCCATAGTTAAGTAGTTTTGGAGGCGCCTAAGGACTGTGTGCCTGCCTGTGTGTGCCTGTGTGCGGGGTGCTCACAGGGCGTTTGCAATAATGAAGGAGGAGATGCTGCGGTCGGGTGCGGTGCACAACGCTGCTAACAACCGAGTGGCCGTTGATGCACCCGCCCAGAAAGCAGCTGTCAGTTCACCCACTCTCTTAGCCCCCCTGCGCTCAAATTATACTCCTCCACTCCAAACCCATTCTTTCCATGCCGCCCCGTCTGAATCCGTTCTTATCCATTGGCTCTCTCACCCACCCATGCTAATCCTTGTTGTAGCCTCAGGATAAACCTTTCCTTTCTCCCTCTCGTCACTCTCCTATCCCAGTTCCCCACTCACCCACCCTCTCTCCGAACCTCTCTCCGGCACCCGCCCCTTGGCTCACAGGTGGCCTCGGCCAAGGCGTGTGAGGATCTGTATCGGGTGGTGGGGGAGGATTTCTGGATCGTCACGCCCTGCTACAGCATGGTGGACCCGGGGTGAGTGGCTGAGCATGGATGAGCTTGAGTTACTGCTTTTGAGTGGTTGTAGTGAGTCTGTCTCGCCTTACTGAGAACCCACTGTTTTCTCAATCCACTTCCTGCTTCCACTGCTCTGACCACCTTTGTCCGTTCCTCTTTCTGCCTGCATGTGTCACTTGTGTCATTTTCCACCCTTCCAGGAAGGTTCTCGAGGGCACACGACTCACCCTTGTGAAGACGTAAGCAGCCCAGCCGATTGCTCTCTGTCCTCATTCTCCTCTCAGTCCACTTTGCTCTCGCCCTTAGCTCTTTCAACCCCCTTAGCTCTTTCAACCCCCTTAGCTCTCTCAACCCCCTTAGCTCTCTCAACCCCCTTAGCTCTCTCAACCCCCTTAGCTCTCTCAACCCCCTTAGCTCTCTCAACCCCCTTAGCTCTCTCAACCCCCTTAGCTCTCTCAACCCCCTTAGCTCTCTCAACCCCCTTAGCTCTCTCATCCCCCTTAGCTCTCTCATCCCCCTTAGCTCTCTCAACCCCCTTAGCTCTCTCAACCCCCTTAGCTCTTTCAACCCCCTTAGCTCTCTCAACCCCCTTAGCTCTCTCAACCCCCTTAGCTCTCTCAACCCCCTTAGCTCTCTCAACCCCCTTAGCTCTCTCAACCCCCTTAGCTCTTTCAACCCCCTTAGCTCTCTCAACCCCCTTAGCTCTCTCAACCCCCTTAGCTCTCTCAGTCCCTTCTGCTATCTCGGTTCCATTGTCCTCTTCTCGTTTCCCATTCATCACCCTAGCATACTCACACTGTCCTCCTCAACCTGCTTTCCTTTCATGTCCTTCCTTAATAACTCTGCCTTCCGTTTTTCCCCTCACGCACCTCCCCGTTCCCGTGCTGTTTCTCTCACGCGCCCTCTCTCTGCATGCGCCCGCAGCCCCACGGGGTTTGACTTTGCCATCCGCACGCCCGGCACGCCCTCACGCTGGGCGGACTACGACGCAGAGATGGCAGCTGCATGGGAGGTGCGTGGGGTAGAATGGGGTTGGGTGGGGTGGGGTGGGATGGGGTGGGATGGGGTGGAGTGGGGTGGGGTGGGGTGGGATGGGGTGGGATGGGGTAGAGTGGGGTGGGGTGGGGTGGGGTGGGTTTTTGGTGAGGGAGGGCCAATGGTGTGAATGCTGCGGACGTGGCAGGAAGTGTGCTTCTGACAGCTAGCAGCGTGACGCACGGATGCATGTGCCAGTGTGCGGCCTCTGTGATTCCCCTCCTGATCGTACCCCGCTGAAGGTATTGTCACACTCTGCAGTTGTTTCATGTCAGAGTCATGCTGGCAGCACGGCTGCTGAAAGGGGAGCAGTGAGAAGAAAGCTTCTCCAGTTCTAGCCCTGCCCTCCTCCCTCCTGTGCTCTCTCTGTCCTCTCCTCCCCCTTTCCCACCCTGGCCAACCCAGGACTTGTGCGCAGTGGTGGGGGAGAAGATGCAGGGGGGGGCATGGAGGCCGCCTCTTGGTCCTTCTATGGCACGATTCCAGCGAGCCGTGCTGCGCCTCGCCTACTACTGGTAACCATGCATCCTAAACTCCATACCTTACCATGAAAGCCTGAACTCCAAGCACCCCTTCAACACTTTGCTTGTCTTGATGCCGTTGTCTCGTCATTATAGGCCGCATATATTTACACCATCTATCAGTGGCTGGCCTGTGTCGTATTTGATTTGTTCATTGGAGCTGCAGGCTGCAGCGGGCTGCCTCTGTAGCTGTAAGCCACCATTCCATCATTGCACCGCTCTGCACCACTCCCTCTGCTGCAGGTACAACTTCATGCCGTTGGCACGGGGAACGGCCATGGTGGGGTATGTGGTGACACTGGCTCTCTGCATAACTCTTGCACCATTCTGCACCACACTGCACCACTCCCTCTGCTGCAGGTACAACTTCATGCCGTTGGCACGGGGAACGGCCATGGTGGGGTATGTGGTGACACTGGCTCTCTGCATAACTCTTGCACCATTCTGCACCACTGCACCACTCCCTCTGCTGCAGGTACAACTTCATGCCACTGGCACGTGGAACAGCCATGGTGGGGTATGTGGTGACACTGGCTCTCTTCCTCGCGGCCCAACTTCAGGTCACCGCCACCATCCCGGCCAAACTGCAGGTGTGTAAGCTGTGCGTGTGCTGAGACGTTACTCAATTTAATAATCGCCTCACCTAGCTGCAGGTCACCGCCACCATTCCGCGCAAACTGCAGGTTTGTGGGAATCGATGCGGTTTCACGTCTGTGACTTTCTTATCTGGTTCTGTGGAGCGTTGGGGTTATGGCGATGTGCAGGCCTGTTGCATGTGTGTGGGGGCAGGCATGCACTCCAGCACATGTGTGGAAGGGAGCAAGAGACACATGTGTGGCATTTCTGCATGTGTTGTCACCGCTTCTGCCTGCCCGCGCTCATGTCCACCGTTTTATCCTTCTTGTAAACTCGCCTGTCCTCACGAATCCTTACCCCGCCCCACCCATCTCCATCCCCCCCTTCCCTGCTCTCCCCAAACGTCGGCAGGTGGACTGGGAGGCGATTCTCTCATCGCGCTTTGAAACCTTTGCCTCGGCAGTCATGCCATGGCTCTCCCCCTCAGTCACGCCCCTCACCGACCCCACGCTGCCCTCCTTCCCCTTGCTCACCTCCACCCTGCCCACCGTCGCGTCTGCTGTTGCCGCCCTCTCCTCGCCCCCAACATCCTCCCGTGCTCCCTCCGCTGCTCGCTCCTAGGCGTGTAAAGAGCAAGACGAAGCTGCCCCACCATTGGGTCGCAGGTACCGGCAGCAGTGATCAGGCTAGGCTAGTGAGATGCTTGTGTTACTATGCCCCCCCGCTTTGCTTCAGTGGGGTTTTCATTAGATTCCGCCTGGAGCTCCCTTTGTGTGGTGGCCAGTTGCTAGTTCACCCCTGCTAGGCTAGTTCTTTAGGCAAAGCTTGCATGTGGTTATGTTTGCAATGCAAGCCTTTGAGCAAATGCTGCGCTGCAGTGCATATGTGCGATCATGTTACAGTAGGCCGAATACATTCCATTGACACGTTTTGGTATGGCAACAGCAAGAGCCCTGCACCTGAGGAGTTTCCAACAGCAAGATGAGCTGCATAAGACCTGACTACAAGGCACTCCCCTAGCTAGTTCCAGTTGTTAGGCAGTTAGTAGGCGGCACAAACATGTCAGCTTCAAGTGGGAACATAACCATACGGTGTAGGCAGCTCCACTGATCCCCCGCCGCGTTTGCTATTTCCTCTTCCGCCTCGCCTCCCTCCCCCCCCTGTTGTCCCCGTCCGCCCGCGCACGAGCTGTGCTTCCGGCAACTGCTCCTCTCCGCGGCCACCGCTAGGGCGTTTCGCCGCCTTGCCTCCCCCTTGTGCCCCCCCCGCTGCTGCGCCTGTCCTGCGCCGTCCCTCCCTGCTTGGCTTCTGCATTGCGTTGTACAGCTGACTCACAACCCCCTTCGGGACCCGCCTCTTCAAACTTTTCTTCGCCCCTTTCTGACGTTGCCCTCCTTTTCGTTGCACCGTAGCTGGCCTCCTCTGGGAGTGACGCAGCGGCTGCGTCCGACTGGTCAGAATCTTTCCTGTGCGCACGCCTCCCCCTCGAGCAGCCTGCCTCGCTCCGCTCCTTGCGCCCCTCCCATGCCTCTTCTCCCCCTTGTGCCCTTTCCCTTTGGCGCGACCTACAGCGTGGTTGCGAGGCGGCGATGCTTCCGACGGGGTAGCTCCTATTCTTCCTGCCACTCCCCTCGCCCCTCTCGCCCCTTTTCTTTCCGCTGCCGTGGCCGCCGTTTCCCTCCCCTTCCCCCTCCCCCGGCGCTTCCCAGCGCCACTTTGATTTCTCCCGCCATTCACCACCAGCAACCGGTGCGCCGCTGCCATTTTCCCCCCTTGGCGGACTTCCCCCAGCTGTCTCATTTCTTCCCGGACTACAACCCCGCCTTCCCCCCGTGTTGCCCCTCCATGCTCCCCCACAGCCCTTCCCCCATTTCCTGCGTCCGCCCGCCAATCAGGAGAGAGCACGAGGGCGCTCGAGCTCCCCTCTGCGTGAAGCGCGCCGAGCTGGCGCGGAAGGAGGCGGGTGAGGAGCGGGAGAAGCAGCAGCGCGGCAGAGTTCATCCCCGCGACTCGCGCAGATCGGCGGGTGTATGGACGGTTCTACACTGCAGCTCGCGCAGAGGCTGTAGATGGAGGTAGTGGAAACCTCCGCTAGAGATAGTCAGTACCTTTGTGATTACTTATCTCAAGTTTACTAGGCGTGATTACTTATCTCAAGTTTACTAGGCGTGATTACTTATCTCAAGTTTACTAGGCGTGATTACTTATTTCAAGTTTACCAGGCGCTAGTAGGATTGCTGATTACACTTGCATGCGATGCTGGAGTGGCGTGCCTAGTAGCTGTGTTAGCCGATTAATAAGATCGTATTGCTGAAACGCGTTTCTGCCGCGCCGCACATTGTATGCTCTGGTCCATTCTCGCGTTGCGGTTCTTAGGAGCGCTGCCTCACATAGCGAATGGAGCTAATATCGTATCACGTGGGACTGAAGCGAGGGTGGATATGGCGGTAAACAACTGAAGGAGGGCACGGTGCAGCGGGGTTCTGGCGTTGTCAGTGGAGTGGCCATGGCAGAAAGAGACTTGGCTACTCGGCTCACCACGGGACGGGACGCAACTCAGCACACCTTTGCTGACTTGTCAGCGTTTCACGACTGGCGCGCTTCGGATGCGACTATCAAGTGACGGCACAGCCCTGCTCAGCAGCAGCAGCAGTGGAGCTCCTCGTTCGAGCGAGGTGGAAAATGTTGCGCTGGAGATGTGGTGGAAAATAGCAAGGAATGCGAAACGTGGGATGGGAGTGACGAGTTGCGTTGTGAAAGGGGCGCATTTCTGATTGGTTTGCCGCGCTTCGATGTTCCACTGTGTGCTATTTCCCGAATCCCGGCTCGCACGCGGCTCTGCTTGCCCCTGCGATGGCGACAGCAATTGGTGCGCGATTGGGGAGGGGGCAAAGTAAATGGAACGTGCGACAGTTTCTTGACCTACAATGATGCTCCACGTAGAAGCCTTGAGGCTTGGAGTTCACATCCGCGTTACACACAACCATCACATATACTCAAGACAAAAAGCAGAAAAATGAGAACGTGTACACAAAGGTAATATTCGCCGCCCGTGGGGCTCGAACCCACGACCACAAGGTTAAGAGCCTTGCGCTCTACCAACTGAGCTAGGGCGGCTGAAAATATATTTATAAATGTTATTATATTTTATATTAAACAATTTGTTTTGACGGGTCCACAGGAGGATTCGTGTTGTGATCGTAAATGTCGCAGCTTGCGAGTGTCCGCTGGTCACTCCGTCTCGTCTTGTCGCCCGTCGCGACACCTCGTCTGTCGCCGCCACACCGCCGCCATTGCCGGTACCATTCCTTACGGCAAGGCCTTCACGGCCAATCCACAGCGCATGGTGCAGCAAATCGGCTGAATGCCGTCGCCCGCAGCGACGCCAGCATAAGCAACGGCTGCAGCAGCAGCAGCGTCAGCAGCGGCAGTCGCGGCAGCGGCGGCGGCGCCAGCAGCAGCAGCATGGCGCTAGAATTCGAGGTGCGCGTTCGTCAACTGAACTGAGTGCAAACCTTCCGCCTCTTGTCCCGTTCCCCCCCACCCCATTCTTCCCCTGTTGGTTCTTCTCGCAACCACTGTTGTCACGCACACGCGAAACTGTTGCGTTTTTGGGCTCCCTTCCCGCGTGCGCCCCTCCCTTCCCCCGCGCCTCGCTTCCCCCCGCCCTCCTTCCCCCCGCCCTCCTTTCCCCCGCCCCGCCCCTCCCTTCTCCCGCCGGCGGCGGCAGGTACTGGCGACCCACGGGCGCGCGCGAGCGGCGCGAATGACGCTGCCGCACCACAGCTGCCTCACGCCCATGTTCATGCCCGTGGGCACGCAAGGTGGGTCCTTGACGGGTGTTGAGAGTGGTTGACAGGTTTTGAGAGGGGTTGAAGGGGGTTTAGATGGGCTGAGAGGAGCTTAGACAGCATGTAGCGAGAATGCGGCTGCAGATGCCTCACGCCCATGTTCATGCCCGTGGGCACGCAAGGTGGGTTCCCTACTATGGTTGAGAGTGCTGAGAGTGGTTGAGATTGTGAGGGGTTAAAGGGGGTTTAGACGGACCAGCAGCTGCGTGAGCTGGGTCGCAGGTGGTGCTTTTGCAGCCCCGTCACCATCTCGCCAACCAGTTTGGCTCTGTCCATGTGACTTATGACACCATGTGACTTATGACACCATGTGACTTACGACACCATGTGACTTATGACACCATGTGACTTATGACACCATGTGACTTATGACACTCAACCCACACCTTCCCTTCCCTCCCATGTCCTCGCCCCGTTCCGACTGCCACCACAACAGGGACCACCAAGGGGTTGACAGCGCAGCAGCTGGGCGAGCTGGGCTGCCAGGTGGTGCTGGGGAGGAAAACACCTACCACCTCGCCAACCCCTTTCCGTCCTTCCCTGTCCGCACCCTTATCCTCCCCTTCCTTTTCCTTCCTTCACGGGACCGAGGCAGGTACAATCAAGGGCCTAACAGCGCAGCAGCTGGGAGAGCTGGGCTGCCACGTGGTGCTGGGGAACACAGACCACATTGCCAACCGCTTCCCTTCCTTCCCTGTCCGCACCCTTCTTCTCTCCTTCCCCTGTCCCCTACCCTCACTGGACCCAAGCAGGCACAATCAAAGGCCTGACAGCGCAACAATTAGGCGAGCTGGGCTGCCAGGTGGTGCTGGGGAACACATACCACCTCGCCAACCGCCCCGGCGCTGACGTCATCGCTGAGGCGGGCGGGCTGCATGCGTTCATGGACTGGCCGCGTGGACTGCTCACTGACTCGGGGGGGTTCCAGATGGTGAGAGGGGGCTTTAAGATGGTGGGGGGTTGGGGCTTTAAGATGGTGGGGGGTTGGGGCTTTAAGATGGCGCGGGCGGGCTGCATGTGTTCATGGACTGGCCCCATGGCCTGCTCACTGACTCGGGGGGGTTCCAGATGGTGAGAGGGGGGTGGGGCTTTAAGGTGGTGAGAGGATGGGGCTTTAAGATGGTGAGGGGTTGGGGCTTTAAGATGGCGCGGGCGGGCTACGTGCGTTCATGGACTGGCCGCGCGGACTGCTCACTGACTCGGGGGGGTTTCAAATGGTGAGAGAGTGGGCTTTAAGATGGCACGGGCGGGTCCTAGATTGTGCGTGCCTCGCTTGCAGAAGGTGGGAGGGGTAGAATGTAGACACGGGGAAGGGAGTATAGGCATGGGGAATGCACACACTGCTCAAACGGCAGCCAGGTACCTCTGTTGCAGCGCTGTTGCATGCCATACCATGCCATGCCCGGCCCACACCGGGTCCTCTTGCTGCTGCTTGCCGCCGCCACCACACTGCGTGCTTTGCCGCACACCGGCCTCCACCGCCCTGCACTCCTCTCCACCGCTGTGCACCGTGGCAGGTGTCGTTGCTGCACCTGGCGGACATCACAGAGCAGGGGGTGGAGTTCCAGTCGCCAGTGGACGGCACGCGCATGCTGCTCACGCCTGAGGAGTCCATTGCTATTCAGGTGAATCCAACAGGAACCCCCACCGCACTCTACCGCACTCCACCGCACTCCACTGCACTCCAATGCACTCCAATGCACTCCACCGCACTCCACCACTCTGCACCAGCACAGCGCCTGGCGGACATCACAGAGCAGGGTGTGGAGTTCCAGTCCAGTCGCCTGTGGACGGCACTCACATGCTGCTCACACCAGAAGAGTCCGTCGCCATTCAGGTGCCTCCCACACGAACCCCCACGGGCCACCGCACTCCACCACACTCCACTGCAATTCACTGCTCTCCACTGCACGGGCGTTGGGCGTTGGGCGTTGGGCTTGGGCGTTTACGCGACCTGAAACAGTGTAAAGTGCCAACAGAAGAGTCCATCGCCATCCAGGTGCCTGTGGGAGGGAACTGTGGGAGGGAACTGTGGGAGGGAACTGAGGGAGGGAACTGTGGGAGGGAACTGTGGGAGGGAACTGTGGGAGGGGACTAGAATTGGGAACTACAGGTGATCCGCTTGGTCTCTTTTAATGAACGACCATGTGTGTTTTACTTTGAATTACCTCCATCACCCACCATTCATTTCACCAGATCACACCCCTTAAAAGCCCTCCGCCATGCGTTTTCTCTTGTGTGACTAACTCATGGGCTGTATCCTGGAAGGAGCGCAGAACAAGATCGGTGCTGACATCATCATGGCTCTGGATGACGTGGTCAGCAGCCTGGTGTCAGGCCCGCGCATCGAGGAGGCGACACATCGCACGCTGAGGTGGATGGACCGATGCATGCAGGGTGAGGTGGAGTGAGGGGTGCAGGCAGGGTGGGGGGCATGGGCCGAGGTGGGTGGAGTCAGGGGTGGGTGCAGGCAGGGGGGGGTGCAGGCAGGGGGGGTGCAGGCAGGGGTGGGTGCAGGCAGGGGTGGGTGCAGGCAGGGGTGGGTGCAGGCAGGGGTGGGTGCAGGCAGGGGTGGGTGCAGGCAGGGGTGGGTGCAGGCAGGGGTGGGTGCAGGCAGGGGTGGGTGCAGGCAGGGGTGGGTGCAGGCAGGGGTGGGTGCAGGCAGGGGTGGGTGCAGGCAGGGGGGGTGCAGGCAGGGGGGGGTCAGGGTGGGTGGAGTGAGGGGTGCAGGCAGGGTGAGGTGGACGTAGATGTGCATCATGTGTGAAACTAAATGTAGTGACTATGCGGGTACCAATTGAGAAAAGCCACTGGTTGTAAGGCTCGTGGGGTACGAGGGTCCAAGTAAGCATTCACATCACAAGCCATCACATGACACTGGGATTCCTCCCAGTGTCACTGAGAGCAGGCAGTGAGGTTCAGCTCGTCATTTCTCCTCTGCTTGCTCTCCACAGCGCCCCACCCGCTCCTCTTTCTCCCAGCCTCCCAGCCTCCCAGCGACCTCCCAGCCTTCCAGTCTCCTGCATGCTGCTGTGCCTCCCCTCCCTCCCCTCTCTCCCCGCAGCCCACAGCCGGCCGCACGATCAGAACCTCTTTGGGATTGTGCAGGGAGGGCTGGACCCTAAGCTCAGGTGAAAACTCAGGTGCTAGCTGCTCAGGTGGAAACAGCGTTATAATTTAGAATAGCAGGTTCAGGTGAGTGAATTCTTGTGAAGGCAAACCGAAGGGCGTCTGACAGTGTGGCATAGGCAGTAGTGTTGTCAGCACAGCACATCTCCGTCATCTTCTCTCCTCTTTCCTCTCTCGCTTCGCTTTCTCCACCAGCAATATGAGATTCACTTTTGGGGGAGTTTCGGAATCGACTCAACCACACTTCCATCTCCTGCACGCCCTTCTCCTGCTCCCTGCTGCTACCATCTTCCTCTCCCATTGCCTGCCGCCTGTTCTCTCCGCTCTCTCTTCCCCCCTTGATGCATGCAGGGACATCTGTCTGAAGGGGCTCATTGACAGAGACCTACCCGGGTACGTCAGTGTGGATCGTGCGGCCTACCCCCGCACGATCAGAGCCGAGTCCGGATTGGTTCACAGCAGTGTCACCACCGCTAATGCCGTTCTGTTTGGGCAATGATTTTGTATTGGCTCGTGGCTTCAGCCTGCGTTGCTCTGTATGATCCAGAATTGCAGTTCTGTCCCATTGCCTCTCAGCGTCTGCTTCATCCGCACCACCTTCCCATCCCACCCATTATACTTCACTCCATTGATCATTTCCAGGTACGCTATTGGTGGGTTGGCGGGCGGCGAGGACAAGGAGTCGTTTTGGCGTGTAGTGGCGCAGTGCACGGCAGCCCTGCCGGCCAACAAGCCAAGATACGTCATGGTATGGTACGGCATGGCATGGGATGGCATGGCATGGAATGGCATGGCATGTTGTGTATCAGACATACCTGTGACCCTCCCCCTTTCCCGTCCAAACACCACAGAAAGTGGGGTACCCATTGGACATAGTGGTTTGCTCAGCCCTGGGAGCGGACATGTACGACTGTTTCTCCAATGTGTACCTCAAACATGCTTGTGTGCATGTGCGCATGCGTGCGTGTGTGCATGCGTGTGGCTGTGCAGGGAGTGGGGTACCCATTGGACATAGTGGTGTGCTCCGCCCTGGGGGCAGACATGTACGACTGTGTCTACCCGACGCGCACGGCACGCTTCGGCACGGCTCTGATACCAGAGGGCGTGTTGAAGCTCAAGCATGCTGCAATGGCGAATGACCACCGCCCCATCGACCCCTCCTGCTCCTGCCTGGTGGGTCACACTGCCCCTCTGCTGCCTGCCTGGTGCGTCTCCCCGCCGCCCTCCTTGCTCCTGGTGCGTCTGTGTCAGTGTTTCCTTGCCAACCACCACTCCATCGACGCCTCCTGCTCCTGCCTGGTGAGTTGCACTGCTGCCCTGCCTGCTGGGTTTGCCTTGCTGCCTGCTGCTCTCCGCCTGTGAATCTGCACTCTTCGCCTCTCATCCCCAACACCACATCCCTCTGCACCCCTCCAGGCGTGCCGCAGCTTCTCACGCGCCTATCTGCACTCACTGGTCACCAAGGACCCTGTTGGCTGCCACCTGCTCAGTCAAACCGTCTCAGGTTTCACCTTCCACCACATCCCACTCCTGAATGCACCCCCCACACCCCACTGCACCACACTACATCTCTCTGCACCCTCCAGGCGTGCCGCAGCTTCTCACGCGCCTACCTGCACTCGCTGGTGACCAAGGACCCCGTGGGCTGCCACCTGCTCACCATCCATAACATCGCTTACATGATGCAGGTGAGGGGAGTGGGGTGGGGTATGGGTGGGTGGGATGAGGCACAAATCCCACCATCTGCTCACCATCCACAACATCGCCTACATGATGCAGGTGGGGGGGTTGGAGGGGAGTTCGGTGGGGGGGGGGGGGGAGGGAAGGGGGGCTATGGGTGGAGATGGGGAGAGAGCGAGAGAGGTGGCATGAGATGAGATGTGATTGGGATGGCACAGGCGGTGGGTAGGAGATGTTGGGGATGTGAGACGAGGTGAGAGTGGAAGCATATGTTGAGAGCGGAAGTTGGCTGGGGGAGTAGTGGGTTTATGAACGAGTGCGAGTGAGAGTGAAACTGGAATGTGGGGGAGGTGTAGGGCATGGCAGTTGCGGGGGGCACTGTCTGTTGTAATTGTCTAACAGACAGTGCATGCCTCTCAGCCGGCCCATTACTCCCACATGTCCACCCTGCTCACATGTGAAATGGGCTTGTCTCTGCACCCATCCCATGCCCCCCTCTCCTCCCTGGCAATGCAGCTCACAAGGTCAATGCACAACGCCATTCTTAATAACACCTTCCCCAGGTATGCCTCCCTCCCTTTCTCCCTTCATGTGCCTCCCTCCCTTCATTTGCCTCCCTTCCTTCCTCGCCATTTACATCCCTCTTAATCCCACATAATCCCATAATCCCTCGTAACCCCTCATATCTCTCTCTCATAATCTAAGAATCACATTGCATCCCTGTGTGTCCAATACTCATGCACTTGCCTCCTCCCTGCTCCCCTCCTCCCTGCTCTCCTCCTCCCTGCTTCCCTCCTCCCTGTTCCTCTGCTCCTCTTCTCCCCTGCTCCCTGCTCCCTGCAGCTTTGTGGTTGATTTTCTCCAAAAACAGGTGTGCCCTTTCGCGCTTTCTCCCCGTCCCTTTTCCATCTTCCCACCCTCCGCTTTTTCAGTTTCCCCCCACGGATCCATACTCCACACACACACACACACACACGCACATACATCCCCAACCCCAACCCCCAACCCCAACATCCCCCAATCCCCAACCCCAATCCTCCCATCCCCCAATCCCCACATCCCCCAATCCTTACATCCCCCAATCCCCACATCCCCCAATCCGTGCATCCCTAATCCGCCCAGTCCCCATCCCAGATTCCAAATCCCAATCCCCAATCCAACCATCCCCATCTCTCCATCCTCGTCTCCTCATGTGCTTGGTCCAACAGTTCCCCCGGGGCGACGTGCCGCCGTGGGTGCAGGCAGCCATGCAGACTGCTGCCACTCTACATCCTTACTTCTCCCCTTCCCTCCATCCCCCTGTCCCATTTCCCACATCCCCCATCCCCATGTCCAACAGTTCCCGCGGGGCGACGTGCCGCAGTGGGTGCAGGCGGCCATGCAGGCTGCTGCCATTGACATTTCCCCAGCTCTGCACCCGGCCCGCGTGTTGTGACGCGCCTCAAACGTCCTTCCCAGGCGCCTGCCTGATCCGTTTCCCTAGGGAAACGTGCTGCAGTGGGTGCAGTCAGCCATGCAGACTGCTGCCATCAACATTTCCCTAGCTCTGCACCTGGCTCGCGCACCTTCAAATCTCTTACAACCTTGTTTTCTTCCTTCATGGCTGCACATATTGAGCACTGCACTTAAAGGTTTGTTGCCACTGCTTTGCATATGTAGGAAGAACTGAGTTATAAGAGTGTTCATTAATCCTGTTGAGTTTAAGTAGCAGGCTAGGGTTTCGGGCCTAGGCTTAGTAGCCTAGGCCAAGGGAGAGTCGAGTGAGTTGTGCCAAAGGAAAGTCGAGAAAAGTGTTGTTGCATTAGAAAGTTGCAAGACTTATACAAGGAAAGCAAATGGAATTGGTGCACCACCTACAAAGCACAATAACTACCTACTACTACAAGCAGTTATAAAATATGTAAATCATATTTCGACACGCCCCCATAAGTGCTTGTAGGTAGAAGTATAGTTACGCCCCTTGAGGGGGGTACACCATGCAAAGAAAACAGCAACAGCAGGCAACACCTCCATCCCCTCACCCTCCCCCTCCCCCTCCCCCTCCCACTGCTGCATGAGCAGCAGAGGGGGGGAGAGAGAAGAGGTGGAGGGACGGCTGCTGGTTGCTCTCACACCCGCCACCCCAGTACCACTCCCCCGGCTCCCCCACACCCTCACACCCTCCCCCCCAGCGGCAGCTGCAGTAGTGGGAACTGAAGGAGGAGGAGGGGAAGGGAAGCATACCACCCTCCCCCCCACGGCTGCAGGGAGACGAAGGAGGAGGGGGTGGGCGGGGAGAAAGCCGCAGAGCGGTTACGGAGGGTCGGCGCGGGTAGGTGAGGGGCGGCTGCAGTGAATGCAGGCGCGGGGTGAGGCAGAGGCGGCTGCACCGAGTGCAGGAGCGGGGTCGGCTGCTCGAAGGGCAGGCGCCGGGTGGTGCAGGGGCGGCTGCAGCGAGTGCAGGCGCGGGTGAGGCAGGAGCACCGCCGAGTGCGCCATGGGCGGTTACGCGGCGGCTCAGGACACCGTCGCAGGCGCCAGGGGCGGTTCCGCGGCGGCTCAGGGCACCGTCGCGCACCACGGGGCACGTGACGGGCAGTTTAGGGCACCGTCGCATGCCACGGGGCGCACGACGGGCAGGGCACCGTCGCGTGCCACGGGGCGCACGACGGGCAGGTGCAGGGCACCGTCGTGTGCCACGGGGCGCACGACGGGCAGGGCACCGTCACGTGCCACGGGGCGCACGACGGGCAGGTTTAGGGCACCGTCGCGTGCCAAGGGGCGCACGACGGGCAGGGCACCGTCGCGAACCACGGGGCGCGCGACGGGCAGAAAAGACGTCACTCGCCACCCGGGGGCGGGACAGGACGAAAATCGCCACGCGCCCGAGGCGCGCAACCGTAAAAACAGCAGCGGAAGCGTGGGGCGGGCCCACAGGCCAGGACGTAACTCGCTCTGATACCATGTTGAGATTAAGTAGCAGGCTAGGGTTTCGGGCCTAGGCTTAGTAGCCTAGGCCAAGGGAGAGTCGAGTGAGTTGTGCCAAAGGAAAGTCGAGAAAAGTGTTGTTGCATTAGAAAGTTGCAAGACTTATACAAGGAAAGCAAATGGAATTGGTGCACCACCTACAAAGCACAATAACTACATTACAACTACAAGCAATTATAAAATATATAAATCATATTTCGACAAATCCATCGTAGCAAATGACGCTTCCAACATACCGTAATCCTGCACACAAAGTACCCACCGGAAAGAGAGCGGAAGAGGGTCTTTGATTGTGGTATTCATACGTAGGGAGAGGAGGACCCGAATGCGTAAAGTTTAAGTAATATTTTCAAAGTGTGCACACTGGACACACGCAACCCTCGTTTCACTTGTTTAATCACACTCATAGCAGGAAGCCAGAAAATCTTCACTAATGATGTTTATTTGGTAACTACTACTTGTTGGTGTGAAACAAGTGAACAGGAATGAAATGACTAAGTCAGAGTTGGGTACAAATACAACCCTAGAAAGCTGTACCCCATATGTGCTACCCCACTATAGCCTACAAACATGCATCAGCTATAATACTCTGACACACCCCCATAGGCTAAGTGGGGGAGAACAAGGGGTCACAAGACCAGTCAAGCAAAGCAAAGCAAAGCAAGCTCAGGGTGGATCACAAAGTCACCACACAGTCCGAGCACAAGAGCAGGGCCAGAGGCCAGTTCACATGCAGGAGTACAGACATATATATAAAACTAGACAAGCAAGAGCAGGTATATATATATGTCACAGTACAAGTGAAGTCAAGAGGAGAGCAAGTGAGGCAAGACAGGTACAAGACCCAGCTGGGTGCAAAAGCGCTGATGGTCACAAGGCGCGAGTGCCTTGGTGAACACATCAGCAGTGTTGGCCTCAGAGGCCACGTACGCAAGTCGCAACTGACCACGCTGCTGCAGCTCACGAGCAAGGAAGTAGCGGAGAGCAATGTGCTTCGTTCTGTGCTCCAAGCGCTGCTCTCGACACAAGGCCAGCATGGCCTTGTTGTCTACGTACAGCACTGGAGGAGAACGAGGCGGCTCTCCAAGGTCAGTCAGCAGGTAGGTGAGCCAGCGAAGCTCCTGTGCAGCCATGGCCCCGGCGTAGATCTCAGCCTCACAACTGGAGCCGAGAACCGAAGACGAGCGAGTAGACCGCCACGAGACAGAGCCGGAACCAAGGCTGAAGGTGTAACCCTGTGACGACCGCTGCGTAGCCTGGTCGTCAGCCCAAGAAGCGTCCGCGTGGCCGGTAAGGACCACTGGACTCCGCCCTCCAAGCACTAGCCCCATGCCCGACGTACTGCACAGGTAGCGCAATACCCTCTTCGCTGCAGCCATGTGCTCCGGTCTGTGTCTCCCAGGAGCAACATAGCGTGCAAGAATGCTCAGAGGGTATGCAAGGTCAGTTCGTGTGCAGGTCATCAGGTACATGAGGCAGCCAACAAGCTCTGCATACGGACCACTCGACTCTACGGACTCATCCGAAGGCAGAGCTGAGAGTGAGTGGCGAGTAGGCAGAGGAGTGGCCTGAGGCGAGGAGTACGTGAAGCCGAAGCGCTGAAGGATCTGCTGCACCATGTGTGACTGAGTCAAGGTAATGGTGCGGCGTGCTCTGTCCCGAGTGATCTGCAAGCCAAGGTAGCTGCGCAGTTCACCCAGGTCTGTGCACGTGTGTCTCTTCAGCAGCTCGGACTTCACGTAGGCGAGTCCAGCAGTGTCCGCTGTGGCAAAGACCAAGTCGTCGACGTACACGAGGATGTAGAACGGCGGCAGGGAAGTGTCGGTGCGAAGAAACAGCGACGGGTCAGCAGTAGAAGGAGCAAACCCAAGAGCCGCAAGCGTAGTCCTCAGTGTGTCGTGCCACTCACGCGGTGCCTGGCGGAGACCGTAGACTGGCCGTCGGAGGCTCCACTGGGTGCCAGGAGGGAAAGTCCCAGTGAAGCCAGGTGGACGGCGAAGCCAGATCTCCTCGTGCAGGCTACCCTGCAAGAACGCAGTGCTGAAGTCGAGAGAGTGAAGCTCGTAGTCGCGCTGAGCGGCTATGTGCAGCAGCACCCGAAGAGTAGTCATCTTCGGGGTGGGAGAGAAGGTCTGAAAGTAGTCAACTCCCTGCCGCTGACTGAAGCCACGAGCAACGTACCGTGCCTTGAAGACAGGTGGAGAGCCCGGCGGCCGCTTCACCCTGAAGATCCACATGCCACTGACGATGTTCGCCCCAGGAGGGGGAACCGCGTCAACGTAGGTGCCTGTGGACTTCCAGGAAGCCATCTCTGCATCCATAGCTGCCTGCCACTGAGAGGAGTAGGGACCCTCTACGGCCTCCGCGTAAGAACGCGGAGTCGGGATGTCTAGTGCATCCGGGTCTCCCTCAGGGGCAAGCAGTACACACGCGAGATGAGGTGAAGCAGCCGCTAGACACTGTAACTCCTCCTGCCTGTCCTCTAGGACGTCCGTGCCAAGAGCACACTCACCCCCGACGGACGGAGGACAGACAGACGCAGACTCAGCAACAAGACTAGCAGCGTAGTCGAGACGACAGCGAGCAGCAAAGTCGACGAGCTCAGTGACTAGAGCACACGCAGCAGTGGACTCAAAAGAGGGGTCAGTGACGACAGTAGCAAGCAGACGCGTGACAGTAGGACTGGCAGCACGAAGAGAGTCCGACTCAGGGTCGGCAAGCGCAGGAAGAGAGGACTCAGGAGGAGAAGGCAAAGGGGCACGCAGAGGAGCAGTGGACGGACGCAAAGACATCCGGTGCGTGCCAGGGACAGGAGGAGGACGCTGACGCGAACTGCGACCACTAGCGCGAGCAGCACGAACAGGCGACGCGGGACGAGACGCAGGCTCACGACGCTCAGCAAGACCTCCAGTAGGACCAGTGTAAGGAGAGGGAGCAGGCAGTGGAGAGGAAGGCTCCAGCAGGGACTGCGACTGGACAGGCGGTGGACCCTCTACTAGAGGAGAAAGACCAAGAACCTGCTGCAGGAGCGGAACGAAGTACGGCCGAGGCCGCGCGGCAGCTCCAGACTCAGCAGGGACAGCACCACCACCCTCAGCGACAGCACCAGCGCCACCCACACCTCCAGCGGCAGGACCAACAGCAGTAGGCTCAGCACCAACGCCCTCAGCAGCTCTAGCTCCAGGAGGACCCGCAGGTCCAGCAGCTCCGGGACCGGCAGCACCCGCACCCTCGACGGTCGAAGAAGCTCCAGCTCCAGCTCCAGCAGCACCTCCAGACTCAGCAGCACGCCTCCAGCGGCGAGCGAACCACTCGCGCAGCTCCTGTGGAGAGAGGGGCTCCCGGCGAGACGCAGCAGCAGGAGAAACCCCAGGCTCAGCAGCTCCAGACGCAGCACCCCCAGGCTCAGCAGCTCCCAGCTCAGCACCCCCAGGCTCAGCAGCTCCCAACCCAGCACCCCCAGACCCA